TATGTTTATAAATGTACATAATTCTATGTGTTTAATAATTTGTAAACTACTTTTTAATAGTTGATACAATATTTAAAATCAGTTTATTTTTTGAAAATATACAATTTGTAAGTTTTATAAAATAAAATATATATAAATTGTGAATTTTCATAAATTTAAAATACTATGGTTAAAGAACTATAACATGTGTATGTTCCTGTAAGAATATCAATATATAAAAACATCAGTTCTTCCAAAAATTTGAAAATTAGATAAAAAGTTAAGTATAACTTGAATAAATTGGAGTAAATAAATTAAATTTGTGAAAATATAGATCTATTTTTGACCAAATATTTATGTTTTTTCTTCTTTTTTCTTTGTCTCTTTCTATCGTAATTGTTGTAGTTGTATGCAATATGTATGTTCACATTAAAGTAGCCTAAGTAACAGTTTCTATGATGCTATTCATCCTTTTTTTAATACAATGCACAATAGAAATCTTTTTTAAAATTTAAAAGTATAAATGCCGTTTATATAAGTGTATCTGTATTAGTGATATGTATATGTCTCCTACATTTTTTTAATATTAAAATAAATGAAATAAATCTGCGAATTCAAAATGGCTGAACGTGCACCATATTATTTAAAATAGATATCCCTTTCTCCTAGTATTGTATTCAATTTTAAATACATAAAAGCGATGTAACTCAAAAAGAAAATATTTTAATACACACACAAAATATTAAATCAAAATCCATTTCTAGTGAAATTTGTCAGTCTAATGAGAATAAATTAAAAATAATTAAAAACATTTTTCGTTACTATACTTACATATTTACATAATTCAACTGTATGGTGTATACATAAATACACGCAAACAAATTCATTCAAATTAAAATATCATAAAAGAATTTTGTATTATTATTGAAGGTTATACTGAAATTCTCTTTAAATACCTTTACGTATGCATGTACATGCAAAAGAAAACAACAATTTAATTACAAAAAACAATTTTGCACACGAAACATTCAAATTCCATGTATATTTAGTGCGAGCCCCACCTTTGCAGGATTTAGATTGGTTAGGACTCCATTGTAAAATAAAATAAAATATAAGTACAAGTACATTCTAGAGAAAAGTTCTGCTGGTATCCAACATTAAATACATGTTATTCCTTTATATAAATGTATGTGCATATACACATATCCAATTCCTCTTTTTCTTTTTTTTAAATAAAATAGAATACATTTATATATCGTTGAATGTATTTGAAACTAAAATGTTACAGTTACTAAGAATGTTACAATTAAATTAGCTTTGTATGTACATAAATATTTCGTGTTGAATGAAAATTATAATGTCAAAAAATAGCCAGCCAGTCGATTTGCGACGTGGTGAAACTTTCCCTGTGATATACACATTACACGAGTAAAACTTAAAAAGGAAAAGTTAATATAACAATATATAACTCTTTACCAAACATGCGCATAGACTACAAGGATAAGTTGAAGTGATATAGGGAGAATCCAAATTTAAATATAGTTAACCTAATATTCAAAAAATAAAGAGAATATATTTAAATTATAAAAAGTTTTCCTAGAAAAATGTTTAAAATAAATTTTCCACAGCATTTTTATGAGATAATTTTTACTATATATGCATTCTATGTCTTTTTTGAGTATTTTCATGTACGAAATTCTACATACATATACAATGATAAAAATAATTTTTAGTATATAAATATAACATGAAACGTGTATATAAATATAACATGCACATATGTATATCCTTTATTTTTGAATATATTATAAATTTTTTCCATCTCAAGAGTGGTGAAAAAAAGTTAAAGTATGTGTTAGTTCATTCTAGTGTGGGTTGATCATCAGAAATTATCATCATAGTTTTAGTAGTTTGGCATTATATGAACTTTTGTTTAAGAAAAGACAATTTAAATCAAGAAAAAAAAAGTTACTAGTGTAGCTTTCAATTCAATTTGATTAACTTAATGAGAATGACGTCATTTTTTTACAACTTTTAAATTTTTTCCAACCACTTTTATTACAATTTTATGTTAATTTTAGTATTTTATTCACATAAAATAAAGCTTTTTGTTTCTTTCTTGAGCTCCAAAAGTCCACACTCAGCCTTTTATAATCAATATGTACGAGCAAGAATTCCTAAAGTCCCGCAATGTTAGAGTAAAATGCACAAACAATATAGCATTTAATTAGCTGAAAAAATATTGCAATTATTATTTCAAATACATAATATACAAATATAAGTTTATCAGTATACAGTGTATGCATACGATTTAAATTCGATATTGGGGATCATGTAAAAATAAGTAATACTATAATTTTTTTTTCAAAATCAATTCAGTATAAAAAGTAAACCAAACTAAAAATAAAAATTAAAGAATAATATAAATCAATTACAAATATTTTGGTTATTGATTTATGAAGTGTTAATTACATCACTAAATACCAGTTCACGCACAAATACATATGTTCTTTATAAGAACACATATTTTTACACGACATAAAACATTTTTTTATGAATGAACTAACTCACGTTGTCCAATGTTTGTCGTTATTAATTATACGAATGGATAGTTAAGGCCATAAATTACATACAGAAAAACTCTCCACAAAACAGCACATAGAGGCGACTGCATTGTGTCTTTAGAACCGTACCAACGTATGTTCGAAGGGTATACTAAATTTGTAATAGCGTTCATAATACTATGAAATAATGGTCTGAGATATAGACATATGTATATCTTTTTTATCAGCGTTGAATTCTGATTGAAAAGCTAATTGAGCTAAGTTTTCCAAATTTTCACAAATGATTTATTATAGTAAATGCCAGAACCCTATTCGAGTTGGATATGATCGAGGTACTATTTCGGGTAGTTGCCATACAACTTCAAAATTTATGTGCCTATATCTGAGAAATTATTTGGAGTTTTAAAAAAATGCATAAGTAAATATATTGTTAGGGCTGTCATGCTTTATAAAAGCCGTTGAAATTTCTCCAGTGCTTGTGGTAGCTGCCATACAACTTAATAAGCAGTTTGTTCACGGTTCTGAAACTATCTAAGCCACAAAGCTGAAATTTTTAACAAATAATGTATTGTGGCCATCATTTACAATAAAACTCTTTCAGGTTGGTAACCGCCATGTATGTGTAAAATAGCATTAAACACAAAAAACACGTAGTATGAAACTGTATCTCAAATGTCTCCAACATTTATAATCATTTATTCGTACAAATATCTTACAGTTGACACGGTCAACTTATCTGTTCTCGTTTTAATGTAATATTTACATGCAATGAAAGAGTTTTCTGACATTATGAAATTGTGTTAAGCTATGTTAAGTATTAAAATAGGCACAAACTTATTTAAGATATCTCCAAAAATGGAAAATTTGTCTTTTGTTGATGTTCTATTTCTGCAATTCACTTTTCTCTATAAAAATTTAAGAATGAAATAACTCATACAATTCAGAAATAAAGAACTGATACAATCAAAAATTCAACTAAGCTAATCTGAAAAGTAAAAAAATTTCGAAGATACGTATTACTTCATTTGGTCCGTTCGTGTGTAAGAAATTTCTCAGCTAACAAACTGAAATGTTATCTTAGATCACAGAAACAAGTATTTACCTATCACACCTTCTGAAAAAATTATAATCTTAAAAAGTCTTAAATACACAAATAGCTGAAGATTATTCACTTAGTTATGAACGCGGAAAAAGTGGTGATTTTCTCTATTTTTATAACAAGGAAGCGTCCCCAAATCGATTTAAACATTAAAATTGAACGATATTTTAAATTAGTTTTCTGCAGTACGATTTGTCTTTTTTTCTACTTGGCGGTTTGAAATTTAGTCAGAAATATTAATGTATACTTTATTTTATTAACACAAAATACTTTTATCTTCTTTGAACCTATTGTCTAACAAAATCCAAAAACCATGAATTTTCAAACTATATGTTACGAAGCCATATATACTGAATTATAGTCTAGTTTTTTCTAAATGTACGAGTAATAACAAAAGACTCCATGAAAATGCTGATCTAATTGATATGGAAATTTTATTTGACCATTATAGTAGAGATACATAAATATTATCCTAAATATATGCAATTTTTTTCGTTTTTTATTTGTAAAAATTTTTATTAAGATATTATGTGAAAATGACTTATAAAGAGATTTTATTTTCTTCGATATTTGGGTTTGATTTGAATTATAGGAATGTTATTAAAAGAGTACTGCTTTACGTTTTTTTACGTTATGCATAGATATTATGTACACCGCAGTTGTAATTTAAACATTACAATGCACAAATTACAAAAGCTAAACTTAGTTAACAGAAATATATAAAGTTTATTAAAAAAAAGTGAAAATAATCTTTTTCATTTTCATTTTCGTTATATCAGTAATAACTATTAACAAACTTTATTTTCAGCATTCACAAAGCAACATTTTTTAATTGATTCAATGATTTTCAACGATTTAGTGAAATTCTAAATTTTGTTAAATATGACGAGTATGTTTTATTCAATAAATTAATATATTGTAAATTAAATTATAAATGCAACAACTCACTAAATTAATAGTTTAATATTTTTAATACTAAAATAAAAGTAATAGTTTCAAAAATAAAATATAGATTATTTCATGAACTTTGCATATTAATTCTTACAAATTAAGTATGCAAAAATATTTTTTGAATTATGTACACCATATGTTCTATAAAAAATTGTCAAAATGTGAAATTTATGTAATTTTGTGTAGTACCACCCTAAATGTTTATCTTAACATTTTTCAAATGAAATGCGTAACAAAAAATTGTGTATGTATTTGTAGCTCTACGTTTACAAATCACAAAAAGAGCTTTTCACCATACTTTTATTCTTTAATCGAAAGATTTTGTTTTTGTATTCTTCTTGCATTTGTGATTCTTTTCTTGTTTTTAATAAACTTATAAGCACGAAAAGAGAAAACTGGGCCAACTCAAAACAGTTTTCCTGATCCATTTAACTGACAATACTATCGATATAATAGAAGAAATTTTATTTGGATTATTTTAGTCCGCTGTCGTCTAAGTGCGATCTGTTCGGGGAATTCCTATATAATTATTTATTTAAAAATTTATGCTAGTTAAAATAAATAATTTCAAAATATAATATTTTCTTCTTGTTATATTAAAAAGTAATTATATTTAGGAATCAATAATCTACTTAAAACAATTATATTACAGAAAATTTATAAAATTATGTGTGAAAATTTAAAAAGGAAAAAAGAAACAAAAAACAAGTGAAAATTAAAAAAAAAAAGGAAAAGGAACTTTTTTCATTTTCAATTTTATTTTTTTTCTATCAGTATAAGTGTGTGTGTATCGATAATTCTGGTGAGGAAGAAATAAAATGAAAAAACAGTGCTTTCCATTCGCCATACAGAATTATGAAACTAAGAAAAGGGCATAAAATTATATGTAGATCAATATGTGTGTTTGGTGCATGTATATATAAGCGTGTGCATTTTAATTTTCTTTTTGGAATGTGAAGAAATATGGGAAAAAATCAATGATTTAATTTTTTTTTGTTATTTGTTACATAAAAAATTACATAAAAATACGTATATATTATCTATTATATATAATTTGTACGCATACATATGTGCATTACATACCATAATATTATTAATGCATATGAATAGATCTAATGTACATATTACAAGTGTATATATGAGTATTACATATATATATATTACGTATATACAAAATTATGATTAAAAAGTTATTTTGAGCATAAAACTATACTTTTTCGTCGTTAAATTAAAAATTATATATCTGTACTATCCCATATTTCATTGTACAGACATAATGTACAATGTTAAGGCATCACATATTTGTATTATATAAACTACAATGTAAATTTAACTAAAAAATAGTTTGATCTAAACTAAATTACTCTATATACAAGTACACTAATTATGTGAGTGTTTATATAAAAAAATACATTATACTTGTACTCGTATATAGAACACAAAATGTAATCTATGCGAAACATTCATATACAATCTCAGATTTGTTAGTGTTACTAAAATAATATAAAAATATGAAACAAGAAAATAGTAGAAAAAATAAAAATCAGGGACAAATTTCAGAACAGATATTTTTTGTTGAAATTTTAGTTTTTCTTCTATATGTTTTTCTTTTGGTTTTTCTGTAGATTTGTTGCTATTCATGTTTTTCATTTCTCTTATATAATATTTTACATATATTAACAAATTTCTCGTATTTTATTTTCTTTTTGTATTTTTTTTTTCAATTGCAGATTTCCTTGTATTTTATGAAAGTGTGTGTGTCAAAGAATAGATACTTTATAATAATTTTAATTTTTACATACAGTATAGAAATTTTAGAGACTTTTAGGCGACTGATATTCTTGAATTAACTACATATAGTCTTCAGACACAGTAAAGCTAACAACGCTTTTTAGTTAAACTTTGTCTGAACGTTGTTTGGAAATTTTATATTTATTTATTTATTTAATTTAATTTTTTTTCTTTTATTATTTTTTCCTTTTTATTTTTAGTTTATTAATTTAACATATTAATCTTAAGTTCAAATTTAAAAAAAAGGAGCACAATTTATAATTGAAAAATCATAAATTTATTTTTTACTCGTACATATTTTATAACAATTAATATTTATTTTAATAATAATAAAAAGCATATACCTATGCCAAAAAATAATAGCTTGGATAAAGTAAAATTTAAAAAATTTTTAAAAATAAATGAGGAAATAAAAGAGATCGTTTTCAAAAGTCAAAAGTATAGGGATAAAAATTTAATATCGGTAAAAAAAAGGAAATATGCTGGTTTGAAATCATTCCATAGTTAAGTACCTGAAAAGTAAAATTTTGCAATATCATTTAAAAAGTTTGAAATTTATTCAAATATTTAAAGTCGATTTTAAGAGAATTTAAAGAAAGTTATATATTATAAAAAATTTTCATAAATCAACAAAAAAGAAAAGTTAGTGAATATATAGGCTTATAACTCATAAACTATTGTAGTATATCTTCATAAAAATATTAAAATGGTTTTTAAAATGAAAAGAAAATCATTTTTACAATCATAAAAAAAATGCAAATAAACCAATTAATTTAAGAAAATTAAAATAGAAAAAAGTTATGAATTTGAAATTAACTAAATTAAAAAAATAGAATTTATAAAAAAGAAAACAGAAATGAAAAAAAAAAATTATTCATTTTTGGATTAAACAACCTTTAAAATTTCAAAAAGGATTTACCCAAAACTAAGTGCGGTAAGTATTTCACATTTTATTACATTTTGTATTTTTATTTTATTTAATTATAATCTTAACTTGAGCTTTTTTCTAGAATTTTGTAGAATTTGTACGGTATGGAATATCTTTTATCATCTTACACCCAATACTTATTCCGAAATATGATTTTTGTAATTTTAAACAAATATGTTGGAAGTAGTTTGATTGTATTTCTTGATTGGCCAGTCCCATCAAGAATATCTGATATGCTATAGGCCCTTAATTTAAAAAAAAAGAAACAAATTTTCCATAAGGAATCAACAAATTTTAACGGCTTTTATCACACATAACAGCCTCAATTATATTATTACTCGTGCTTTAATAATTTTCGAGATATAACCAAATAATTTTTTTTATGTTGTAGGGCCGATACCCGAACTTATCCCGGCATTTATTAATATAAATTAGTTATAAAAATTTGAAGAGCTTAACTCAATTATTTTTTGAGATATCCTTATGAGACGGACCGAGAGACTAACTGACTTGTTTAAATCTACTTGGAGTTTATAACAGAAAATTTTTTCTTAAAATTACAAACGGTAAGAAAAATTTATAATACCCTTCGAACATACTTTGGTACGGGTATAACAATACAATACTAATTTGCTGAGCATTTATGTTTCGGTAATTTTAACAAGTATTTTTTTCAAGTAAATTTTGTTGAATTAATTTTTTATAAAAAAATGCACATTAATTTCACTTTATATATCCGCTTGTTAAGAAAATTTTTACACCATTTGAGATAAAACGACAGAATTGTACAAAATTACGTTGTAGTAAAGAACATCCTTAGAATTAAATTACGCCCCTTGCTATAGCTTTTCAAGGAGCTTAAAAATATATAATAGAGTCCTGAGCTACCTCAGGACTCACAGGAAAAATATAAACAAATATCAGGGTGTCGAAGTCATTATCGTTCATTTACGCTTCTGTACTATTGAGAAGTTCGCTCCCACAGAAACCTCGACATTCAAAATTTGGTGCCATCATATAACCTACCTCATTGTATACTCATGTAAGAAAAAGAACAGAAAGCCAAAAGTGAATATAATTTGATATAAAGTTTGATACAATAAAAGAATGGAACGACCGTAAAATTTAAAACTATCTTATAGTAATGTATAACAAATGTAAAAAATCTGATGGGATCAGCTATGTGATAGTTAGAAAAATGTGAATTTGACTCTTCGTAGAGTTTCATTTTGTGCCGTCCGAATTATACGAAAAGTCAGTAACTTCTGGTAACATCCAAAACTCAAATAATAAATTTCAAGAAATTCCATCACTTCGTTCCGTAAATATGATAAAAAAAGTTAAATCGGCCTTTAAATTTGTTCCCGAGTCCTGATCTTTCCAAAAAATTTACAGATTCATTGTGTTAAGACCTCGAATATATTAAATTTCAATGAAATCGGTTGATTATTGTTCTTAATATACGCAAACATGTATATTTGGCCCGTAGCAAACGTCCAAAAGTTAGGAGATTTCTCGGAGGGTCAAATGAAATTTATATACGAAATTTAAGTTAAGCGGTTGAATATTTTCTTCAAAATGATCAAAAATGTTAAACAGGCTAATTGATAAAATGATATGAGAGTTCCATTTTCACAAGTATTTCTGTCGAAATATAGAAGATTACGGTTTCTTCTATTAACTTGATGATGATCTTTCCTTTTAGATAAGGTTGTGGTTGAGTGAATATTATTAGTATTTTATATTATGAATGTAGGTATCAATTTGATGTTGTCTAGATCTCGGATTAAATAATTATGATAAATTAGATGGATGAAATACTGAATATTTTAAAGCTAGCTTAAACTGTAAAGGTTTTTAATTGCTTTGTTTTGGATTATTTGTAACTCGTTGATAGTTGTTTTTTGTACTACACTCCGTTACTAGCGTGACTTTGAAATAGGGCGTAGTACACAGTTTTGTTTGGAAGAAGCGAATTTATTTTGTAAAATATTTCGGCAACTGAATAAAACTTTCTACGTGGATAGGTAAAGTGAGTTTATCTAACCAGATTAAATGTATGAAAAATGCACTTTTCGCATGTTTATCTTGATGATCTTATGATTTTATTATGATCATGATCTTATTATTTTCAAGATAACGTCGAGAAATCTGAGTCTACCCAACCTTTTCTATAACTTTTGATAAACCAGGAAATCTATTCAAATCTGTCTACTGTTATTGAATTCGCTCCTTTCATCAGATTTAAAAATTGAAACGATTCTTCCCAGTTTCAGAGCTTCCAGAAAAATACTATCCGCAAGTGATATACTATTATTAAAGCAACATATTCAACGATATATTTATTAAATATTTCTAGTAGGTTTTTCGATAAATTAAAAGAATCTACGAATTTTGAATTTTTTAATTGTTTAACAATTCTAGTATTTTCATTTCTATCTATATACTGAAACGCAAAGACATGTCAGTGAAGGAGAGTAGAAAACTTTACTTTCAAAAGTTTTCAATATTAAATATTCAACTTCAGAAATAACAATATTCTTTCATTTAAAGTATTTGTAAAAAATTGATATATACAGATTTATATACAAATATATCAATTCTAGTTATGAGATTATCATTGCTACACTCAATTTCAAATTAGTTTGAGGACAAAAAATTTTTTTATTTATTAAAATTATATTTATTAAAATTAAATTTATATTAAAATCGTCAGTGATATAAGTCTTTTTTTAAAACAGCCATATTGGCTAACCTTTGTTTTCATATTCAGGAATTCTTCTATGACATACCTATACATAAATATAAGTTTCTTTTTTTGTTTAAATCTTGAAAGTGTACACTTTCCTGACAATCTATAAATCTATAGATTAACAAAGTTTATTTATATATTAACTTAAATGAACACTAAAAAGAGATTGTGAAGTATCACATTTCCCTTAAACGGGATGTCCAAAACTCAATGATGTCTCTGAAGCAGAATGGTGGAGTGGATCCAAAACGAACAAAAAATTTACTTTTTGTGCACTATTGAAATAACATTTTTTTGACTTATTTTTGAATGTTATTTTGAAAACTCAACAAACTTCAAATAGGTAAAACAAGGGCTTATGGAGAAACCCTCTATCCAGTAAGACGAAAAGGATAAAAATTTACAGGAAGATAACATTTTCTCAATGAAGACTTGGTCATATTATTTTGCCAGCTAATCTCATCTTGCTCTTTCTATGACTGTGCTCTTTTATAACTGGCGCGATTTTTTTTGTATTTTGGAATAAACACTTCTCTACAATCGAAACCCACATGCACGTCAACCCTTTGCTTTCTTGCGTAATTATTGGTCGTAAATGAAAGTTTTTAAAAAAATGTACCTAACATTTTTTTTTCGGAGAACAGAAATAGCGGTATCTTATGCTAATGAAAACAATTTTGCATTCATTGAGTATGTGTTAAGACACCCGATGTTTATAAATATAGTCAGCTTCTTACGAATATAACCAAAAGTAAGTAAAAACGTTTCAGTTAGTATAAACCGATTGAATTATACCCTGCACCTTTCGTTGTTGTATAGCAATTACTCGAACCTGTAAACCATTCTATAGAAACTTCACGCATATCTTTGACCTATAATTGGACACACGACTGCCAAGGTTCATAAATCTGACTTTATTATTTTTCCAAATATTTAAAATATGCTTTTAGATTTGTATGGAAGCTACTCGAACTTGTCAAGCAATTCAACCAAAACTTCAGAAATATATCTAACCTATAACTGGACACACAACTGTGAAGTTTCATGAATCTGACTTCATTATTTTTACAAATATTTAATATTAACTTCTGGAGTTGTATGGCAGCCACCCGAATGGGTGCAGATATCCCATTAAAATTTTTATAACATGTTTAGAATATAATTGGAAAATTTTATATTTACACCTTTATTAGTTTTTGAAATATTTAAAACAAACTCTTTGAGCTGTATGGCAGCTACCCGAACCCGTCGTCCGAATTAGTCCAATAACAATTCCTTGACACAAAAGAAACAACTTGTGGAAGTTTGGTGTCGATTGCATTATTCATTTTTGAGTTATCGTAGGACCGGACGGACGGACGGACATGTCTAAATCAACGCAGAATTTTACGTTGAGCAAGAATATATATATATGTCCATACCGCAGATGACTCTTTCAAGTAGTTACAAACTCCATACCAAAGTTAATATACCCTTCACGAAGTGCAGGGTATAATACGTTCAAAGTTGGATCAAACCAATGGTTTGTAGCACTTTTGCCTTTAGCAAATGAAAATACTGCTTTTAAATAGCGTCTATATATATCTACCACACTATTAAAAATATTTTCATTCATATACGAAACTATTTGTAGGATTGCATATGTTTAGCATGAACGATTTATGCAGTCTTTTTGCTTCATTTATGCAAGCAAAAATTAATTTAAAGAGGGCTTAACATAATACTCGATTTTAAAAAATTTTTTAATTACGTGAGTTAAGAAAAATAATTATATTTTTTAATGTTATTGAATTTACCGTTAGCTTTTTACGTTTATGGAAATTTGAAAAAGCTTGCGGTTTCGGATATATAAAATATCAAAATTCAAATTTTACAAATTTCAAGAGTCGATAAATTGAGAGGGAGTGGAGATGCAAAAAAGTTTTGTTCTAATGAAATAAACTGTTTATTGGTGTCTAAAAGCTGATAAAATTTCAGGCTCCTATAACCTGGGGTCTAGAGGAAAAACGTCTTCAAAATTTGGAAAAAAAGGATTTTAGATAACGGTAAATTTGAATGGCCATTTTCTTTTTGTAAAGTTTAACAATAATTTGCCGCGATAGGAGAAGCAAGCCACTAGCTTTCTGTGTTTGCAAAATTCGAAAAATGCTCATGGTTTCACTGCAACAAATAGTTAAAAAATGGCATTTTTAGGGTTTTAGAGGGAGGGGGCGAGTATAACTTCTAGAGGGGGGAGATAGGTAAAATTTTTCTT